TTTGGACCCTTCAGTAATTAAAAAAGACAATAGCTTTCACATAGCCCCACTCTAGTGATGTCCGATGATTTTAACATGGAAAGGCTTGTACTCAAAAAAAAAAAAACTGGTAAATCATCTGATCAAGAAACATTCCCAATTAGTTAGTAAAGGGTTTTACTGGTAATTATGACAAGTAAAATTTTTTGGGGGTAGCAAATTACGTATCACATGATAGCGCGAAGTTATACAAATACGTAATATAGCACTTTTGATTTCAAAACGAAATGTCTTTAATATTATCTAAATGTACAGTACAATGATACCTGAATATATATTGTTACCATAACGATTCTTTCAGTTGCAAACAATAAATTCACAATGTTAGAATTATATCACAAACTTATATTATATCATATATATAAAACATACAATGGTTAATTCAGAGAAGAGAAGAATATAGGATGGCATTTTAAATTTTTCAGGTTAACTAAAACAACGACTCCGGTCTCGGCAAAAGATGGTAATAAAATTATTCTTGTACGTTGCTTATCTGGCCCTGTTAAAAATAAATTCTCAATTGTCTGATTAAAAATCCAATAAATTTAAATAAAAATGCGTTACCCTCAATAGTACTTGTGGCGAACTCCTTCTGATTGGAGATAAAGTATACATGAGGCGCTTGTGACATGATAAAAGGATCAACGTCTTGGAAAGGATAGCACCCTATTACCGAAGCCTCATTAAATTAATTGTATCAAAATGATCAACATCTCAAGTAAATGATAAACTTACAAAGCGTATCCGGCGCCGTAGGGGCAATATGCCTCCAATGTAACGTTCTCTCCGCGAATTTGAGCCTATCTTCGCTGTTAACATATTTATATATGTCATCGATTGTTTGGCCGGACGTACCGAGGAATCTATTCACGGAAAGGTTGAGGTCGTAAGTTCACAAAATCATAGAAATTATGGCAAACTAATATACGTACACAACACCGTCCAATTCACACCAGTAAGGATTTGTTACACTGTGAAAGGTTGAATGTTGGTTCGCTTTGGGCAAGAGGTTAGGTAT